TCATGTTTGAGTTCTATTTAAAAGTTTACCGAATCTTTATGTTACATTTTTATCATCCTTATAAACATAACTAAGCCTTGAGATATCCACACAAACTTCTTCCTGAAATATTTCAGAAAATAAACTAATTTTTAACCAAGTTTCGCTCTAGATAGGCATAAGACAACGCTCATATTTTATAAGAAATTCAGAATTAAAATTCTAGGGAACATGAGTCCTAGGAAATTCTTATTTCAAAATAATTAATCAGGTCTCTACAATGTCTTATATAAACGTTCTCGACTTTTTGATGCGGCACAAAGGATAAGATGACTATAGGCAGATCTTCGAATTTTAAAACAAGTGGAAAGTCTTGTTGAACTCAACTGAAATGGCTCGGCTGGATCAATAAAAACTTGACACAGAAGTACAACTTTTCAAGTTATGTAATATAGCCTTTCGACTATAACGTTTCGGGGAAAAGAATTAAAAAGAAAAGAAAAAGCAACAGAGCTTTTTACTTTGGGCTGAAACATGTTATTTGGATCAAAATTTGGCCCTTTTGGTAAAATCTGGCTCTAAAGTTGATTCTTAAGTTGATTCAAATATTACAATCCTATAAATTGAGGATTTTGTGGATTGCGGGGAGCCTCTGCAGAAAGGAAGTTGTACATGCATATATACATAAAGACACACATACATTCATTATACTTCCTAAAAAGGGCTTTTCAACCCAAACAGGTGGTTCTCACGGAAAAAATTTGTTGAACAAATTTTACGCAGTCCTGTTTGATAAAAATTTAGATCGTTGACCGTCCACTCGTGAAGTTTCTCAGAGTATTTAATTTTCAAAGGTTTTAGATTTCTCAGAGTATTTAATTTTCGTCAGTTTTTAAGTTTTTAAAAGCGCAAAAACAAAGGTGCAAACACCACCTTGCTTTGCAAATATGACACGAGTCTCAAAACAGACCGTTTTTAAACTGTCTGCTATCAAAGCAACTTTAATTTGGTAGCAAAGTCTTTTTTTTCATCAAACACAGGTTTCACTGTGAGCTAAAAACAGATTTTCAAAACCTTGCAAGAGTGAATCTGCCAGTTATCTCATGCAATAAGGATCACGAGTTTTGACGAACTCAGGCAAAATAAATGAATGTCTATCGTCCGCGTCAGTATGGCGAAACAAGAGCGAAAATTATTTTAAAACAGTGACGTTAGCACATTACAATGATCGTAAAAAGATTTTAAGCCTTTTTGCTTTGAAGGAAATAAATGTGTTTGATTTTATTTTTCAAATACAGGAAAGTAAGTAGCTTAGTGCAGCTTGAAACTTCGGACGTGTTCATTACCGAGGATGTATTTTTGAAAAAGAAGTCATCATTAATTGATGCAGTCAGCCTGTTTTGACTGACATGAAAATTTTTCCTCAGGCTCGATATTCAACACCTAACTTTGAGTCCTCACTTTCACTTAGTGCAGTAAATTAAAAACGCACATTTATTCTTAAAGTTTATCGTACCATCAACACCAATCTGGATAATAAAGTTGTCCATCGAAAACGGAAATTTTCGAAAACACGCTCCTAATGAAGATAATGTGAAAATGCAGACTTTACCCTATGGCTTGAACGAAAAATTCTAGAAAAAGGAATTTGTCAAGAAACCGTTAGTACAGCATGCGGCGTCCTATTTTCTATCGCTTTTCAAGTTTTGTTGTCAATTACTACTTGGACATCAGATTCTAAAAAGCAGTCGCATGACTCCTTTCATCGTATTTCTACTTCGCTCGACCAAAATGTGATATTTTAGGATTTATTGTTCCTGTTACACTCACTTACGCTCTTAAAGTATGCATGCTCGAGGGTAAATTTCAGTCAATTTTGTTCCTGTTACACTCAATCACGCCCTTAAAATATGCATGCTCAAGGGTAAATTTCAGTCAGTTTGGTAAAAAAGTTTTAATATACAGGGGAGTTTTTAACTCCTTGAGTTATACGTCAGCAAGTTTAATTATCTCTCGCTTTGCTTTCATAATACTCAGTATGGTCCAAATCTTCAGTCAAGCTACATAACAATGAAAACCCGTACGCATTTCATGAATTGAGTTTTTGAACCGAGACTAAACAAAAGCTCCCCCAAAACGTTTGGACAGTAACCTTTTTTAACGAACTAAACATGCTCAGACGAGATTACCAGCATCATTACGTGATAAACACGAATTACTCTACATATCAACACAGGTTGATTGTAGACTTCGGCGTCGACTGATCGATCGATCATAATAGGTGATCGCATTAAAAAGTTATACGTTACTTAATATTAAACACTCATATTCCTTGTAATAATAACAAAGGGAATTTGTAGGGGTTCATCACAACGGGGACACTACTTTTTGCCGTGATCACTCAGAACAATATTTAAAACTACTCGACTGGTGTTCTATGCAAGGCAGAAAACCAAAATCCAAATTAAGGTAATGATTCAGGAGTAACACTGCTCTAAATTCGTGTATCGGAATGGCGTGCTGTACCAGCAGGAGTTCCTCAGGGGACCAAACTCGGCCCCTGGTTATTTCTAATAATGATTAATGACCTAAGTGTGGCGAATACGAACATCTGGAAGTATGTAGATGATACTACCCTCGCTGAGGGTGTGGAAAAGAACGGAACCAGCTCGCTCGATGCAGTCGAGCAATTGATGAATTTGTTACAAAATCTCGTGCTGATGGTTTTCAGTTGGATGAATCGAAGTGCAAGGAACTTAGAATATCATTCACAAAGTCATAGAATACTTTAGAGCCTGTTACTATCAACAATGCGAACATTGAGGTTGTTCCTTCCGCTAAATTACTAGGTGTTATGATATCGAATGATTTGAAGTGGAATGTGCACGTAGAAATGATATGAAAGAAAGTCGCTTCTCTACTTTCTTAGGCAATTAAAGAGCGCGAAAGTGCCAGCTAATGACCTTCTAAGTTTCTACATCATTTGCATACGCCCAGTTGTAGAGTGTGCATGTCCAGTCTATAATACCTCTCTACCGCAATATCTCTCCGATCAGTTAGAACGCCTGCAGAAGCGAGCACTACGCATAATAAGCACTAATGATTTATCTTATAGACAGGCTTTAGAAGTTATTAACATACCTGCCTTGTATGACAGGAGAGAGGTGATTGGTATCTCAATGTTTCAAGAGATAAGTAACGGCAACAATCACAAGCTTTATTCGCTACTTCCGCCACCTTACCTTGGCACGTTGCGAACACGGAAAAATCGCGAGTTCCAAGTCCTGCGTTTTAAAACCAATCGTTTTACTTACTTACGTATTACCCATCATGTCTGTGTGGCACATAGGGCAGCAACGAAATCCTTCCAACCCTGTCTATCTTTAGCCAGTTTTTCAATGGTGCTCCAACTGTAATTGAGCCCCCTTAGTCCCTTCTCTTCTGTCCTGCGCCAAGTTGTTTTCGGGCGCCCTCTGCTTCGTTTGCATTCAGGTGTCCAGTGCATTGCAATTCTGGCTATGATGTTACTGGCCTTCCGCATCTCATGACCGATCCACCTCCATCTTCTCCTGTTGACAAGTGTACGAATATCCTCCTGCTTGGTTTGCCTCAGTAGCTGGTCGTTTGATATTTTCTGAGGCCAGAAGATTCTCAGAATCTTCCTGAGGTTAGCTGTGTGGAAGGATGTCCTGTCCTCTTACCCTGATCTTTGTTGGGGAAGGGACATTGACACACATGGCCTCCGTATTCTTCAAGCTAATTCTCAAGCCGACCTGGTTGCTGAACATGCTGAGCCGGTCTGTCTTTTCCTGAATGTGCTGTCGTGTGTGGGACAATAGGGCTGTATCATCTGCGAAGTCGAGGTCTTCAAGTATAGTAAAAGGGGTCCATCTAAGGCCTCTTCGCTGATCTTCCACTGTTCGACAAAGGACCCAGTCGATAGCAATATTGAATAGCATGGACGACATGACACATCCCTGCCGTAAACTGGTTTTAACTTCAAAACTTAGATCTCCCTGACCGATGCAACATGTGAAATTTAAGTAGAAGCATTTGATGATATTAATAATGCGTTGTGGAATGCCATATGCTCTCAGAATCTACCAAAGACTGTCCCTGTGAATGCTGTCGAACGCTTTCTCATAGTCGATGAAATTTACATACAACTCGCTGTTCCACTCAGTACATTGCTCAAGTATGTTCCACAGTGTGAAAATATTGTCCGTACATCCACGCCCCTTGCGAATACCAGATTGCTCGTTCCGCAGGAGGTCATCAATAGCTTGGGTGATGCACTGTATAATGACCTTGCAAAAGATTTTACTCGGCACAGACAAAAGGGTAATTCCTCGCCAGTTGTTACAATCACTTAGAGACCCTTTCTTTGGTATCTTGATCATCACACTTCTTTGGTATCTTGATTATCACACTCCAATGTCAGCTCCTTTCCTCGCCTTGACATCCCGAAGGGATCTCCGCCATTCCCATTGATCAACAGATGGTCAATTTGATTTCTATCTCTGCCATTCGGGGAACACCATGTGATTTTATGGATCTCTAGGTGTGGAAAAAGGGTGCCCCCTATCACCAGATTATTAGTTGTGCAAAACTCAACAAGCCTTTCTCCATTTCACTGATGATGCCACTCCCGTGTCTTCCCATCACTCTGTCACTGCCTGAGTTATCGGCACCAACTTTGGCATTTAGATCCCCCATGATGATGATTGTACAACTCATATATATTAATTGATCTGATTTCGAATAATTTTAGTTGTATCTTAATTAATTTAGTGTTTACATAATGATAAGCTTTATTATTGTTAAATTCTTATGAATTAACTTTCTTAATTTATCATTATATAATTTATAGTTATAATTAATTTACGTTTTACATTTGTAAAAATTATCGTAATTCAGCCCTCGGCTGCAAGGGTAATTTTAATAAAACTATCTATCTATCTATCTAAAGTTCCAGTTTTAGTTAAAGTCCTTAGCGCAACTTTCTAACTTAGTAGATTCTTTCTCTAGGTAATTGCCGCAATTTAAAGTTCACCAGTTTTCCTAAACTCGGCTTCCGGTTGAAGAATCACACGGTTCGAACTATTGACGTTGTCAACGAGGATCTCTGCATGTTTCAATGCTACCTGGAACCTAACTGCGTCAGTTATAACTTCTGTAAGATAAAACAGTCGTCTGGAAAACACAAGTGTGATCTGAATAACGCGACTATTGAACACGATGAAGACCTGGTGCAAAACGGAAGTTGTATTTACCATGGAGCAGAGGTGAGGATGAATTTTATGGGCTAAAAGTATTATTCATTGTCCGAGAAAGCTTTAATACCGGACCAAGGGATACCCTAGCCTCTCTAACCCGTTAATTTTACCCGCTTGTTAGGGGAACAAATGAATACATGCAAGGGACCTGTCACGCCTGCAAAAATGTCATTTTAAATTTATCTCTTCCATTCTTTCCTAAGAATGCTTGTAAGCAGAATCCTTGCAAGAATAATGCAACATGCCAAGTTGGGTTTACAGACAGAGACTACCAGTGTTTGTGTGTTAATGGATCTGGATTTAAAGGCCATAATTGTGACGAGGGTAAGGAATCCTATATTTTTATTAAGAAAGAAACATAATGTATAGGTGATACGCTCCTAAAGCCTCTCCCTCGATTGAAGTTCTTTTAAGTGATTGGGCAGACTCATTTGAAAGGGATGAGTACGAAACAATCCCGAACATGGCAATAGTTTGATAGTCACAGCACATCGCAGGTGAAAGCTTTTGGCTTTCATGGCTTGCGAGAAGGATAATCCAGAATGGCACAAGTTATTCAAAATAAAAATTAGGACTTACATATGAACAACTCTTTTGCTTCTCATGGTTCATCTTGGAACGAGATTTTATCACTCATTTTTGTTTTTTACCCCTGTCATTCAGTCTCAATTTTCTTTAACGCTGTTTCTTACCCACCATCTACACGAACAAACTGTAATTTCTCATTTTCCTTTCTTACGAGGCAATGTCAACAAAACTAAGTACAAAGTCTACGCAAAGATCAGATGTGACCCTATATCTAGATAAAACATGAAAATCTTTAAGGAAACCAACTTAGATGAAGTCCATCGTCTTCTCTTTCCTTTTATAGACATAGACGAGTGCTTGTCTGGTAAACACAACTGTGAGGGTAATACGACATGCAATAACACCATTGGGTCGTACTGTTTTTTCAACTATTTTTTGTTGATTTAGATACCAACGAATACACTGAAGGAAAACACGACTGTGATGTAAATGCTGAGTGTAACAATACCTTGGCATCCTACAAATGCACTTGTAAAGATGGATATGAGGGAAATGGAACCAACTGCACAGGTCAGTAACAAGCCAAGGTATCAAACAATGTCAAAATAACTCTCATATACTGATGGGATTTAATTTTGTTGTCATAGACATAGATGAGTGTTTAAAGGAAATACACGATTGTGATGTGAATGCTGTGTGTAACAACACCCAGGGATCTTATAAGTGCACTTGTGAAGATGGATTTCAAGGAAATGGAACTAAGTGCACTGGTAACTAGTTCTGACATATTCACACTCCGTCTTTTATCTTTAGTTTTTCAGATTAGTGAGAGAAAAGGTCTCATTTACATTATTTTCCTTTTCGTGTTCTAGATCAAGATGAGTGTATGAACGGAACACATGACTGTGATTTTAAAAACTAAGTGTAACAATACCCTAAGACCTTACAATTGCTCGTATAAAGATGGAATTCAAGGAAATGGAACTGACTGCACACATAACCAGTTGCAACATACCATACTCTCTATTTTCTCGATGATACCTGTCGTGTGGCAAAAAGGAATGACCACAAATCAAAACTGTTTTTTGTTGAGTTAGATACCAACGAATGCACTGAAGGAAAACATGATTGTGATGTAAATGCTGAGTGTAACAATACCTTGGGATCTTACAAATGCACTTGTAAAGATGGATATGAGGGAAATGGAACCAACTGCACAGGTCAGTAACAAGCCAAGGTACCAAACAATGTCAAAATAACTTTCATATACTGATGGGATTACATTTTGTTGTCACAGACACAGATGAGTGTTTAAAGGAAATACACGGTTGTGATGTGAATGCTGTGTGTAACAATACCCTGGGATCTTACAAATGCACTTGTAAAGATGGATATGAGGGAAATGGAACCAACTGCACAGGTCAGTCACAAACCAAGGTACCAAACAATGTTTTCATAATTAAAAAAAGTTAACTGTCAAACTAATTGATGTAAACTTGGCTGCTTCAGACAAGAAACGCGGTATTGACAACATGTAAGTTATTGGTTGGACAGACGCCGGCACGAGACTAGCAAAATTGTAGGGTGCTCTGCATGTGAACACTATTCCAAAACTTTTGGCGTATTGATAGTGCTGTTTGTTTCCTCCTTTATTTAGAGAAATTATGGTCTGTTATCATTTGCGAGGGAGGAAATAGGACCATAAGTTGTGATATTGACCAAAGAACTATCGAAGTTGTCGATGCAAATTATGGTAGACTGGACTCAAACACTTGCCATCATTCCAAAGTTAGCAATACAGACTGCAAAGCTGCGAACTCTCTTTTCTTTGTGCGGTTGAAGTGCAACGAAGAAGCTAGTTGCGAGCTGCATGCAGATTCTTTAGTTTTTGGGGATCCATGCCCAGGCACACATAAATACTTGGAAGTCAAGTACAAGTGTGTGAATTTAGGTTAGTACCTATAGCTATTGTTGTATGCTGTGAACTGGGGGGAGAAATGGCCTTTTGCTACCATTTAGGACGCATTTATTTTAGAATTGCATTAGGCGCTAGATCACCCGTCCATTTTCAGTCGGGGGCGTATTAAAAAAAGATACGCAAAGAAGCAATCGTTAATATAGTCAGTACTCAAATATCAAATCTTTTTTCGAATTAATACCTTTACACTTTTATCAAAGACATGGTGGATAAGTATTCATTTGTTTCCGGGGTTTCAGTTTCATTTTGTCTTGAGTGGCGCCCGCAAAAGCAAAGGAAAACTCGACAAGGTGGTCTAGGATAGATTTTATGCACTAGGGAAAAAGTTCTGAACTGCCGTCTGGTCGGTGAACCCTGGGTGGATCATGCGTACACCAAAGGAGTGCAAACTGACAATTTTCAAGCCGTATGCAGAAAAATTCAATATTAGCATGCCAGACCATTTTCCTGCATAAATAGTGAGATAAAAAAGGTTCAATTCAATAATTCTGGATCGCACCTTCGTGTACGTTGCTGATGAGCACTGCTGCTGAACTAGAAGCAAATGAAAATTGAGAGGTACCCTCTGTCTTGACTCCTGGTTAATCATTCAGTAGCACAACGAGATAGACTTATTGTATACATTGAAGAGAGAATGTCCACTAAGACCGAGCGAAAATGGAAATTCGTGGTTCATCTCGAAAAATAAAAATTCTTCATATTTTCTCTGAAGATACCCTATAGTGGCTTAAGAAACGTGATAGGATTTTTTTCTAGAAACATCTTTTTAAACTTTCATGAAATAAAAAAGCCGTCACGAGCCAAAATGTCCTGAAAGGCATCCGAAAAATAGGTGATTGGTACCTTCACATAGAATTCGCCCTTTTGAATTGGCATCATAGAAAGAACCGTTTCCTGGTTTCAACATTGCTGTTGAAGTCTTTGCAAGTAACTTGACTTCAATCTTACGCCAGTGAATAAAATTTAGAGGTCATGGTAAGCCGATGAAATTAACTAAAATTCACCTTCGAATAATTTGTAATTTAGCGTGTTTTTTTAAGGGACATTTTTTGTACCCGGTAAAACATCGGAGAAATTGAAAATGACATTCTTAAGAGAATAAATGCTGGTCTAAAATGAGGTGTAAAAATTAGTTTCAGGCTTTTTACCAGCGCCGAGTACGAAGCCTCTTAAGGTTATCACAACAAAATCGTGTCAACCGGAAGTCAACAAATAGCACATTCTCCAAACCCGTAAGCAAAGGATTATAAAATTTTTACATTATAATTAATCTGTTTAGTCGTCAGTAATCCACAGCGCTGAAGAACTGCATTTTTAGATCCTCTGAATAAGATATTGACTAAATATTTATTTCCGTGAGTATTTTATCGTTAGACATTTCAAAATTAGTGTCGCGCTGATCCGAATCAACTTACACGGTTTTTTTCAATTTTCCCAGCTTATTTTTTCATGTTCTTTTAGACGCAAAACAAAATACCAAGAAGCTACACGAATAGACGAAACCTAAATTCCCATCATGTAGATATACTACAGCAGTCAGCAAGTAAGTCTATTGGAACTTTTTCATGCTTTGAGCATGAAAAACTGAGGCAGCGACACACGTTTTCCCAAAGGTGAACATTGCGACCTCTTATACTCGTGTATTTTTTTTCTTCTTTTTCAAGGAAGCAACCTTGAATAATCGATCTAGTCTATACAAAAGCGGAGAGAAAAAAGCGTGATTATGCGATCGTTAGACCCTGAGGTTTTAACAGCATGAGGAACGAGAAGCAGCTAAAAAAGTGAACGGAACATTCAATTATTAATTATGTGTTAGCTGAACTATTTTACAGGGCTTTCAAGGAAACGAACAAATTGACGACATCTAGGAAAAACAATAGCGACCATTTCATTACATCGACAACCTAGTTCTTAGATTGGGGTGGGAAGGGGAGAAACCTTGGGAACGAGGTTGCGACATCAGTAAATGAATTCCAAAATTGGCGACACGGATATCCCACCTTAAAAGGCTTCAGAGACAGCTATTAGAACAAAATAGGAATCGGGTGAGAATAGGGTTACCACCATTTTATCCATCTTAGGGGCACATTTAATTGACACACTTCATTATAATCAGTCGTCGTCGTTAACAATCCTAGAGCGTATACAGGACGGCGACAAAGATTTTCTCCCCATGCTCCCGACGAACTTTACGGCATGACTAAATGAAACTTCTGTTGGAAAATTTCAATAACATTGACTTAGCCACTCATTCCTCAACGCTGACATGTGCATTCCTCGCAAAGCGACTGCAGTTTTTTCGATGAATGCTTCTTGCGACTAACTGTAAAAAAGGATTAATTTCCAAGTATACAAATATTTTGTTGAAGGCATATGTTCATTGTTTCCAGTTGTTCACAGTTAATTGACGTGATTTTCCCAATTTTTAAAGCCACGGTGCTCAGTACTCATTGAAAGCCCGGAAATTAATTGTATACCTGCTTTTATAAATACATTTCCTTTTCCAAGGATTCGAAATTTCAAGCGATTCAGAGCTTTACCGGGTAAAGAAAATGTCGCTTGAAAAAGTGCACGAAATGGAGAATTTTCAGTAGGCGAATTTTTAGCGATCGTTGAAAGTTTCCAGTGGCGTAACAATTCAAATCTACAGGTCTTTAAATTGACTAAACCTTCTAAATTGACTAAACCTTCAAAGATACATTTCTATGCTTAAAACAGAGTTTTAATGCCATGCAACTTAGATCAGAGCAGATTGTTTGGGAGGGGATGAGATATGTTTATTTCAGCTGTTTTCATGACACGTGGGGTGTTCTAAGTTTTAATTTTTTGTGGTTTTAAAAGGTATATTTAAACAAATTAAACTCACCACGTTCGTTGGCCTACCAATGGGTATCTTTAAAAAATTATCGGGGAAATTGGTTATCTATCATGTGCCATCTCCTGCTCGGTGTTAGTGGGCATTCGCTCTTAAATGGTGAATTAGGTACTGCAGAGGCTTACCAATATAACGGAAAAACCACGCATCAAAATATTTACCTTCATCAGACAAACCAAAAGAAGAAAAAATCTAGGGAGACCCAACTCCGTAAGAGGACAATTGGCTTGTCATAGACACCCCGATAGGCCAGTTCAAAAGGGTATTCGCGACCCTTTAAAGAGCGCCAAAGACCAAGAGAAATTTTCTCTTTCGCCTCAAAATACAAAACACCAAGAGACGGAGAATTAGAGCTCAATGCAGTAAAAGAGTTAAAATTTTGCAAGCAAAAATTTCAAAAACCACTAAATTTGACATCTCGTATCTGAGATTTATGTAATACATTCTTTTTTCAATAAATACTTGTCTGGAAGTAGCTTTAAATCCTGAAGAAAAGACGCTCCTTTGTCGGGAGATCCTAAGGTTTTCTTAACGCTCTCGCACCTCTTTTTACTACTGTATTCATCTTCTCATCCGCCACATGTGAAATAAGATTAAAAGATAGACGGGATAATCACAATTCCGCTTTCATTACAGGAAGAATTCGTAATTAAATATTTAACAAGATACCTGAGAGAGTTTGTCCATAAATGGTAGAAGAAAATCATAATAAGAATAGTGACCGTCTCAATCAAGGTTTGACGAAAGCTTTGAAACTTTATCTAATAGCATCAAATCGTTACGAGTCAATTGGTTGCTTCAAAGACAATACAACCAGTCCTACCATAGAAACATTGGAAGGAAAAGATGATATCTTGGATGGTAACTACTCAACAAGGAATGATTCCATCGACAAATGCTTTCGTGCTGCCGAGAGGCAAAGATTTCACATCTTTGCTGTTCAGGATGGTGGACGATGCCAAGCCAGTGCTTCGGCCATAAAGACTTTCCACAAGTATAACCAACCATCGCAAAAATGTCCGTCTGGTGGTAAAGGGGGAAAGCAAATCAATCATGTATATTACATTAAGGGTAAGAGTGTTATTTTTTATTTTATACCAAGTTATCCATGCTACAACCGCAGTGCCTCGCAAGGCTAGAATTATGGATCCCCGTGATTTGGATTTAGTTGCCCTAAAAAGCTTATAACCCCATACTTTTTTAAAGCAAAGCAGCAGTTGTTATTTATGCTGCTGTTTTCTTTTACAAAGAATTCTGTGGATATTGAAATATTATGTTTTAAGGACATCTTGCTAAAGCTTCTGTTTCAATAAAATTTGCTTAAATTTAAGGCGAATTGTCGCTTATACACCCATTTTATGTGATGTGTGATGGTGAAACACAATTTCATTTTAATTTTGTGGATAGGAGTTTCTTTGTGTTTTGTGGAAGCAATCATTTGCGTTTCGATAAGACTACGACTTCTGCAGAGAAGTGCTTTTTGCATACTTCGCTTGCAGCAGACCTACCACTGAATTCTATTCGAAATCTTTGTGAGGGGAATTTTTCGATAACCCAAGGGAACCGACACAACAGCAAAATCAATCGAAAACCCTACTCCTATCAACTCCCTACATACTGGAACTTTTTCATTTTTGAATTGAAAGGTAATAGAATTTTGGACCTTTTTTTTCTCTCTGAATTCTTTTCTGCAGGAAGTTTCTATTGCAGATCAAGAAAAATCCGAAAAAATTGAAAAAATGTAAACAACGTGGAACTGCACACCTACCCCTCCCCTTCCCCAACATTAACTCAAGCTGTTTATCAGTTGACTGTGATTGGGTTAGGGGAGGGGTGGGTGTGGGTGTGAAGTTGCTTTGATCAAGACTAACACTGATCCGAAGTATGAATGGAAGAATAAAATACAAATGCAAATAATGTTTCTTGAAAAAAACGCTCTAGTTGTCAAAATCAAGGCTTGTTTGAAAATGTCTAGATGATTTGTAGAAAAGAACACCACAATGCTCTCTGAAGTGGATACGAGACGACTTCAGGTGATTCCTCAAGAAAAAAGTTATCGAGCAATTTGTCTTAACTATCCTTAAATGTTCCCCACAATTGTCTGTTTCATAAACTGCAAAAAAAATATAGGTCACCGTGCTTCTTATCTCTTCGTTCTTCGCTCTGACGAAGGGCTAACGCTCGAAACTTAAGCTTGAAACTTTTTACGGCGGCCAGTATATGTTAATAACTTGGTTGACAATACCAAATCACCTTGTTATACTCTCCCACCGACGTAGCACCACAGTTTCTATAGAAACTTACCCCCTTTATTTACATGTTTAGTACCCAGTCTAGTTGATAGTTACAATGTTGTACGGCTTTGTTTGCTGTTTACTCTTTCAGGACATAAAAGTGTTGGATGCTACGAATCACCTGGTATGAGTCGTTTAACCCATGATATGACTGGGTCCGATCCTATCTTGAATGGAATTTACCCTGCAGAGCCTGGTAGCTTCATTTCAAAGTGTGCAGTGGCTGTAATTAGAGCAGGTTACGGGTTATTTGCAGTTGAGAATAATGACACGTGTTCAGCATGTGCTACTACACCGCAGAAAATTGAAAACCTTGAGGAATCTAAGAAGTGTGGTCTTGAGGACGCCAATGCATTTCAGTTTTACACCATCAAAGGTAATTTTAAAGTACAAACCCAGTCTAAAAGCCCGCTTCAACATTGAAGGAAAGGCATTTTTAAATAAATTATAATGGCTTACATATTACAATTCTACGCCTCAAAACCCGGATAAGCTGTCTGTTACGAGCATCTTTTGTAGAGCACCTTTTGGTCTCGGAGCTGAGCATCGCTGGTAGCGGCAAAAAACTGGTTTATTCCTCCACTTTGATATTTTCTTGAAAATGATATCTCCCCGTTCATAATGCTTTTATACGCATGCCAAGTGTTAAAGTGTCACTCTTGAATTTATTTTCTAAGGTTTAAGAAGTTCCATCATAAGCTAATTGTGCAAGCATCATAGGCAAAAAATAGCCTTGCGTAATTCCCTAACCTTTACCTTAAAGGTTGATCAAGCATTATTCTAGTCAGGTTCGTTGAATAAGGAAGTAGACACGTTTTCGTACCACATTCAAACCAATATATAATTGTTTATCATGAGTGAATGACATTATTGTAACACCGCTTTAAAACCGTTCGCCCCTTTTGGGTTCTTATCAACTCAATTCGGATGAAGGATGAACGTCATCACTTAATCCAACGATTGGCTGCAAAAATAATTAAAACGAGGTTTCTATATGTTGTGGGCTTTCAAAGTTTTATGTGAGAAAATGCTTGATAACATCAATGAAGAGATCTGATGCCCTTGATCTGTTAAAATGGAAGATTGTACACCAAGCTCCTAGCATCAACGTTTACTCACAAACATGGAAACAGCATTAAGGAGATATTTCCTCATTAACAGAATACACCTGATTTGGGCAAGAGCCAAAATGTACTCAGATAATGTAAAATGGAAAATATCTACCAGTGGCGTGTGAGCAATTTCAGGTATATTAACGTGTTGCGACTCTCTTTATTTATTTGGTAATTTTAGATTTCCTTTTGCTTCAAAATAGATTTACGTTGTCAAGGAACACTTGGTATGGAAAGTGATGCAATCACCGATGAGCAGATAACTTTCTCGTCCCAAAAACACTGGAATAACGCGAAAACTGTAAGGTTACATCACACAAGGAGGACTTGGATAGCTAATGATGAGGATTCTAATCCGTGGCTTCAGATTGATCTCAGAGCTCAAAACACTGAAGTAACACGAGTAGCAACACAGGGATCCCAGAAAAAATGGGTGAAGAAGTACAAGCTACAATACAGCAACTATGGAGTGAGATTTCAAAACTACACGGAACAAGGACAAACCATATCAAAGGTAAAACTGGTCAGAGGCGGGGAAGGGTTCTAAAACATGAGCTGCTCATTGTAAACAAAACCAATTTCATTCCTCAACTCAAACTTCCCCGAAGTGTTCTTTTAGCAGTTTGTTAGGACAAACAGTCTTCTTTGCAATCAGGGATTCGTTTCTCGATTTGTTACGATTTATGAGTCGACAGTTGTTAAAGAAGATTGTTACAATGTACGAAATTTCATACATTTACCGTTTTCTTTGCAGGGTCACAAATTTCATCTTGATCCAGTTTTTGATCAGCCTCAGATAGATATTTGTAGATAAAGTTCGTTTTAATTTTATCGTACGGTGGAATGGGATGAATTTAATTAATGAAATCGCTCGTGAGATATTTCA